GACTTGTATATTTTTATGTGTGTTTCAAATTACCTTCCTTGAGGGTGGTGTCAATCTATGCTCCTACCAGAACTGAATCTTAATATGGAATCCCACTGAATCAGATACTTGTCACAGGAACACACACACACACGTACACACGTGAGCACGCACACACATACAAAAACAGTAGTGTGGACAACAGAAAGGCATTCCTTTAACTGGATTTGTAGGTGTTGCTGGGATGAAAAGAGGATCCAGGCAGCAACAGTGGGGCCAGGACTCCCGAGTACACCCGTCCCATGGCTGCGTCCCCCGTACCCGGAGGTGGAGTAAAACCAGACTAACACTAAGAGAAGTGACAGAACAGCATAGATGGAGTGTGGAGGTCTAGATATGGAAAGGCCTGGGAGCAGCAGCAATGTAACCTCAGGGGCTTGGGGAGAGGAGGGAGCCTGAATGGGGAGAGGGGTCATTGCAGCTGTCGAACCTTTGTGGCTGTTGAGAGCATGTTACCTACACCGAATACTCTGCTCCAGACTGAGTTTATAGTTCACCCTGTGCACCAAACAGGCCCACTCATTGAAATCAGACACAGTGAGAAGAAATTCTGCCAATTATACATTTATTGCACACACACACAAACACACGCACACACACACACACACACACACACACACACTGTGTGTGCTCACTCCCAACCTCTGTGAACACGGAACTGAGGAACTCCAGCCCATTCTCAGGGATCCACAGTCCAGTCCTCTGAGGCAGTGAGGAGGAAGCTCAGTACTTGTCAGGCAGGCCAGCAGGTCTGAAGTGGTTGGGGTCTTTGCCACTGCGGCCCCATCTGTTGGCTTCCTGGTCAGCCATGGAGTCCTCGTGTCCATGGCCCAATAACCTTTGAATGTTCTCTCTGGCATTGCTAATGGAGGCAGATAGGAAGGAGATCCATCAGCAGGTTGTGTGACCACAGCCCCTTCACAATTCTCCCCTTTGCACGGGATGGCACTGTGAGGAGCTCAGGAAGGCCCAGGAAGGAAGGGCAGAGACACTGACCCTGCCAGGCTTAGCCCAGGTCAGTACTGGGCATGGATGGAGAGAATGGCAGGATAGGCAGCAGGAGGAGGGACCACAGATGAACGTGACCTGCTCCAGGGATCATCCTCCACTGTCCCTCAGGAAGTCAACCCTGCTCACCCAGGCCTGGTGTCCCTAGAAATCTGTGTTACCTGATCTTTTCAGCAGCCCAGGCTCCCCCAGGTCCCCTTTGGGCAGCGTCATAGTTCCCTCGAGCGTGGAAGTACTTGTCTGCGTTCTTCCAGTTGGCTTCCCTCATGTCAGAGTAGGCTCGCCACATGTCCCCAGCCCCTGGATTGGAAACGCAGCAGGCCCGTGAACATAAAGACTGCCTACACCTTTGGGAGGACTCAGGGATGAAGACACTTAAGACCTCAGCCTGTGATCATAGCAGCTGAGACACCTTGATTGAGGAGGACGTGCTTGTGCTCTTCAGATAACGACTGAGAGCCATTGGGGCGATCCTGTGTTCTGTTCTGGTGTGTGACCGATGAGCACCTCCTTCAGTTACTCAGAGGAGATGTGTTGAATGGAAAGAAGGGAGGTGTAATTGCAGAACAGGATTTCTCATCTTCAGCCCTATTGCGTGTTGAGCCATTTGGTTCTTTGTTTTCAGAACTGAGCAGAACACCATAGTATGTTTTCCAGGATCCCTGATTCCCAAAACCAGATTCTAGCAACACATTCCCCTAGTGGGACAACCTAACTTATTTCTAGATGTTGAAAATGTCCCCTGAGCCACCACCACGTTACCCTTGATCCCAAACCACATTCAGAAATGAAGTTACACTTGTGAGGGACTCCCACAAGTGAGGAAACAACATGGAAAGGAGACAAAGGCTGGACTCGGGGAGAGCTGCACTGACTCCCAACCTCTATCCTGACAGAGGGAACACACGTCACCATGACCTGGGTGCCCTGGAGCCTTCTAAATAGACTGTGCAGACATGGTGGTTTCTTAAGGATGCATTGGAGCGAGGGTTCTCATCAGCGGTGGCAGATTGTAACCACTTAGGGAGACCGTGAAAGCCCCCATGCCAGACCACACCGAAGGCCCATACTAAGACTCCAGGACCAAAAGGAAGACTGGTCCAGACTTCAGTAGTAGTAAAACTCTGCAGGTGATTTCATGTTCACTAACAAGTTCACAACTGAAATGTTCAACAGACTGTCAGGTAAATGTCCAGCTAAGACTGGTCTCAGGCACGGCTGTGTCAAAGCCACTGCCTTACCACCTGCTGAATTCAGATCACTACAGTCATGACTGCAAGGCCTGCCTCCCAGGCCTGCACATCCCAAGCAGTGGGGACAACACTTCTGAAAGCATGACTGAACCTATAAACCATGCCTCATCCATCAGCCTTACCTCTAGCAGCCTCACCAATGAAAGAAAACCAGCGTCCACTGACTCCCAGGACCAAGGAACAGAACACAAGGCCCATGAGAAGCTTCATCCTGATGAAATGAAGGCAGAGACTCAGGAGGCATTGACAGGCTGGCGCCTCCCCCCTGAGTATCTGTAATCCGGGGAGAGCCTGGTAGTTCTTTTCCACTGCTGTTCATTAGGATCGGAACAGAAGTCACCTGAAGAGTTTGACAACCATCAGAATAATGTAAATGCGCTAGAAATAGATGCTCTAGAAGTGTTCATTATTCAGAGACAAATAGACTTTGCTAATAATCAGGACAATATTAGACTCTATGGTTGTATGTTATATAAAACCTGGATTTATGGGTTCTCCAGTGTTTGAGGCCCCATGTGTAACAGGCTCATAGCAAGCCCTCTCCATAGTGGCCAGAGGCCTGGAGTCTGAGTGGCTCAAGTAGGAGTCAATGTGGCAGCAGGGTTCGGCAAAAGCTGTGGTGCCAGTGACATTTTTAACCACTTTCAAGAAAAGAACACAATCTGAGAGAGCTTCTCAACAACATGAACCAGAGTTAGGATTTAGGTCTGACCCCAGTGAACAGCAGAAGGAATGTCCAGAGGCTTATGGAAGTTTATGAGACAGGAAGTGATTGATCCTCGTGGTTGCTGAATACTATCTACTGGTGGATACACTTCCAGCCAATTCAAGAGCCCAGGAACATAGTTTAATCCAGGTGTGCATTCCGTAGACTTGGACAGGCCTTGGGCTTGGAACTGATGATACTTCTTTACTGACTGAAGAATTGGCTTATGGATGTCTGTGGGTTCAGACAGCTATTGAAACAAATATTTGGTACTAATGTCTGCTATTATTGGTGGAAATGATTAGCAAACAAGAAGTGTGTGGGAAGGATGGCTGAGGCTCCGCTGATGTGTGAATGCCACAGTGGGCCTGGTGTAGCCAGTGTAAAGACCAAAGTAGAAACGAGGGGGCTGAGTACAGATGAACAGGCACAAGATTTGGCTAGAGGAAAGAAAATTGCTGGGTTTGACTGCTGAGCTCTGGTGCACACTCCACAGCTCCTGCTAAGAAGGCCTTCACTGGATTTATTTTGGAATCAAATGCTTCAAAAGTACAGAGTGGAAAACAGAATGAATGACGTGTGGGTCACTCATGTTCAAATGCAGGTGGAATTGTTTCTCAGCACATGAAGGTACCTAAAGAAATATTTTGATCGGCGAGGGAACTGGTTTCAAAATGCAGAGGGAAGTTTTGGCTGGACCAGTTCCACAGCAGCAGCCCACAGGTTCAACCTGCATGGAGGGCTTTGGATGAAGTCACCAAGTGTGCCTGGCCAGGAGAACACTGGGAAACACAGAAGGGTCATCGTTGCTGGCAGAGATGGCAGTGACAGCCAAACTAGGTAGTTCATGTAACCAGAGAGAATGGATTGGGAGGTTGATTCCTGTCACTGAGGTACCTATTACTGGCTCTATCTCAAAGGCATTTGTCGCCAAATGAAGAATTGTCAGCGAGGAGCAAAGAGAGACACAGTGCCCTCTCCCCCACTGCGTTGTTCAGAGAAAGGAAAAGGTGCATCCCAAGAGTTAGGATGAGGCTAAAGTTGGATCCAAAGAGAAAGGCATGTTTCATGGGGGAAGGAAGTGGGAAGAGAAGGGGGTGGGCACATAGAGCTTTCTGCGCTGTGACTCACTATAAGGCAATAATGGAGCAGGTAGGGTATAAGTTAGAGTGACCAAGAAAATAGTCCATGCTGTGCCCTGAAAGTCAATTGTGAGAAAGAAACACTTCAGCACTCTGGACAGAGACAGTACACTACCCTGGTCACAGCATTGGTACTGAGCTGGGTTTCTGGGCTCTGCTGGACTGACACATTGAGGAGCCAGGGTAACATGGCCCCCCCAAAGCTCCAATGGACTGTGAGATGAACCCACTGGGATGTATTTCTGACTTTCTTTGGTGGTGTTGCATCTGTTCCTCAAAGGAGTCTGAAGAAAATGGCGGGCTAGGGTGAAAAAGGAGAAAGCTTAGTTAGTAGGGTCAGTTACAGCTACAGTATATTTTCAAAACATAGCTAATAGAAAACATTCATAAGTAAAACTTTTGTTATGAAGCTGCCCCCCAGCATGCAACTGTGGATGTAGGCCTCGGGATGTAGCTCAGTGTTATAGTGCTTGATGCCCATGTGTAAAGTTCTGGGTTAAAAAACACACAAAACAAACAAAAATGCAAACAGCAGAACTTCTGGGCTAATTCTGCTTTCTGTTATGGTTAAACACTGGACAGAGGTTCAAGTTTTACCCTAGGGACTAGAATTCACGTTTCAGAGAGGCACAGCCAACTCTTTCCTTCACAAGCAATCTTTCCTGGGAATTTGTCCACCCCCTGAAGAGATGAAGCGTGGCTTATAGGAATTCTAGGATGGATGGCTTAGGTTGGAAGCTTGCCATCCATGAGCAATCTCAGCTTCTGTCAGCAAAACCCTGGACATTGTCCCCCTGGTGCCGTGCCATGCTTATCTCTAGGGGAAGACCGGTTACAAAACACCAAAGAACCTGTCCAGGAGAGGCTGTGACCCTCAGTTCCCATCATAGATCTTGAATCCAGCCAGCTTGACTTGGAAACAGCATGGTTGTGAGGGGAAGCGCCTCCTGGGCTCCCAGACCTAGAATGACTTCAGCTCTGCCCTGTACTGATGCCATGGGAGAGCACTCAGTGTTCTAGAGCAGAGGAGATCATGTCTAGGGGAAAAAGTTTGATGCAGTGTGGTCCACTGGTATTCAGTCATGTTCCTGACATGTCTCACAGCCTAGGAGGCTGAACGGGTGGAGACCAAGCTTGTGTTGTTCTGCTCTTCAGTTTCCTCAGTGACACGTTCACTCGCTCACACATTGTTAGAGGCAGGGATGTGTTCTGAAAGATTCAGCAGAAGGCAACCTGGTCATGGTGTGGGCATTAGAGTACTTCCACAAAGGGAGATGGCACAGGTCAACCCATCCATGTCACCTCCAGGTACACTGAAAAGTAACAGTGAACACCAGGCACTTGAGGTTCCAGTAGCAGTTTACAATAAACATATTTAACGCTGGTGTGGTGGCCCACATCTTTTAGTGCCAGAATTTGGGAGGCACAGACAGGCAAATCTCTGGAAGTTCTAGGCTGGCCAGGGCTACATAGTGAGACCCTATCTCAAAAATACTATTATTAGCTGGGGCGTGGTACTGCACGCTTTTAATCCCAGCTCTTGGGAGGCAGAGGCAGGCAGATCTCTGTAAGTTCAAGGCTAGCCCAGTCTACATAGTAAGTTCCAGACCAGCCGGGGCTACATGGAGACCCTGTCCCAAGAATAATAATAACAATAATAATAATAATAATAATAATATAAAATAAGTAAAAGTAGACACTATAAAATATATCAATCAGCAATGTAGTCACTCATTGCTGTTATCAAATATTATCTTTTTTCTTGAAATGCATGTGCTGCAATTTGTGTGATGGGCACTATGATGATAAAACAACACATCCAAAAACCAGATGTGAGTCTTCAGTGACTTCTGTTACTGGATAGCACAGGCGGTGCTCCTGACTCCTGTTCAGCAGACAACCTATGGTCATTGGCCAGTCACCATTCACTCATTTCCGTTTGTGCTGAATGGCTTCAGCTGTCACTTTGACACACCTGGGAAGAGGAACCTCAGTTAGGGAGTTTCCTCTATCAGGCTGACCTGTGAACATATCTATGAGGCACATTCTTGATTGCTGAGTGATGTGGGAGGGTCCAGCCACTGAGGGTGGTGTCATCCCTGGTCCAGCATTGTATAAGAAAGCAGGCTGGGAGTTGGAGAGATGGCTCAGTGGTTAAGAGCACTGGCTACTCTTGCAGAGGCCCTTGGTTCAGTTCCTAGCACCCACATAGCAGCTAACAACCATCCATAACTCCAGTTCCACAGGATCTGATGCCCACTTCTGGCTTCTGCAGGCATTGCACAACACAGATGCACTTACATACATGCAGGCAATACACTCATACACATAAAATAAAAATAAATTACATTAAAAAAAAAGACTGAGTACAGGACGGAGGATCAGGTTCGAAAGCAGCATTCCACTAGTCTCTGCTTAAGCTCCTGCCTCCGTATTCCTGCCTTGAGTTTCTGCCTTGGTTTCCCTTGATGATGGCCTTTGAGCTATAAGCCAAATAAACCCTTTCTTCCTCAAGTTGTTTTTGGTCAGAGTCTTTTCACAGCAACAGATCCAAACCAGAACACCATCGATCTATTCTCCAGATAGTTTGTGGGGTAACCAGAGCCAGGGGCTGACAGATACTGCAGATTCCGCAGTGAACAGCCCAGGCCTGCGTCTTCTTCAGCTGCTGATGCCTGCTCTGAGCTCTCCTCCTTCCCAGCCTCTGCCTCTATCCTCCCCTCATCTGGACCCAGGGCCTTTGCAGTCACTGCTCTCTCCTCCAGAGCACTGTTCATCCAGATGTTCATGCGGCTTCTTTTCTCAGAGTCCAGTAGATGGCATCACATCAGATAGGTCATGCTTGACCAGCAGATAACGTGACGCGGGGTCATCTTCCCCATTATCTCTTGGCGGTTTCTACAGGTTATACCAGGATCTAGGTTATTTATGTTATCTCTCTACCTCTCCACTCAGGAAGATAAAAGGTCCATGAATCAGGAGCCATATTTGCCCAATCACCATGTGTCAGAGTGACTGGAACAGTGTGTGAAATGAATTGAGATTTCCTCAAGCAACTGAAGAGAAGAGATGAAAATAAGAAAGTTAGAAGACATCCTCCGTGTGGGCGATGTGAAAGCACCATCTTATCAGGGGTGGCGCAAAGGGTTGTGGGAAGCCCCTGGCTTCCAGGGTTGAGTCTGAGTCTCAACAGGACAATAAAACTCTAGCTTTTCTTTGCTTTCTAAGTACACATGGAGAGCGTGTTTGTTATTTTTTTCATTTCTTTAATTTTTATGTGTATGGGTGTACTGCCTGAATGTATGTAAGTGCACCATGCTGTGCAATGCACATGGAAGTCAGAAGAGGGCATCAGATCCCCTGGAAATGGAG